CCCCAAACAAAACCCCAACAAACAAACACTAACAATAGTTCAATGCTCCTCTTATTATTATTTTTTAATTTAAGCGGCTATGTGTCGTCAACCCTTTTATGCGGTTGAGAATGCTGAACACAAGGTAGTGAAATAAACATAAAGCAACAGCCATGTGGCTACAGAGGAGACTGTTGAGGATTTAATCGACTGAAATCAAAGGAAGTAATACTGAAAGAAGCCCCAAGAAGGCGTTCTCTAACAAACACAATTAGGAAGAGACAAATTTGGTTTGTGGGGCTCTTGAATCGACATAGGCCTTGAACATCTTGCTCTCACTGAAAAAATGTATGGCAAAAGAGGCAGGGGTAGACCAAGAAACAACTCCCGTAGAAAATTTAAACAAATGGGTGGCGGGGAAAGACAAGGATAATAATAATATAGTTTGTCTTTTGTTGTTGTTGCTGTTGGGTTTGGGTGGTGATGGTTGGGGGGGGGGGAGTTGGGGAGCATATGAGGAAAAGAAATAAGTGGCGAACCATGATCGCCGATGTCTGTTTCAGATCTGGCACTCCATGATGATGCTGATTTGTGTTTTGGAAAGTCTTTTGTTTTCCCGCACCTTAGCACTTTAATTAACATATTACGTTTTTTAAAATTTGGTCTCTCTGCTTTTCTGCTTCTAGTTCTGTTTAGAATTTTAAGTAGTGTTATGGGCGCCTGGGCATTCTTAACCATCAAGTTTTTGACACTGGTACCGGCTTTGTCATAACTAACTTTTCCCTTGCAATTTATGACATTTTGTGTAGTATAGAGTGCCAGATCTCCCTTTATTTCTCATGAACGTAATCTAAAACGTACCGTCATGAAAGCATTTAATATTTATTTGTCAAAGATGTAGATTTAGATGTTTGAAAAAAAAAAAGAAATTTTGAAAATGATGAGATAAGATAAGATACAAACACATGTTATCACTTTCAAACACACATACACAGACAGACACACTTACACATAAACACAAACAAACAAACACACACATACAAACACACACATGCACAGACAGACACACTTACACATAAACACAAGTAAACAAACACACACATACACATACACACACACTCAC